CACCACCCCCTCACCCCCATCCCAGGCCCCAAGAAAACCTTCCACATTAAACAGATGTTCACCTGCACATCTGCTAATGTGGTATACTGCATCCGCTCTTCCCGTTGTGGCCTCCTCTACATCGGGAAAACCAAGCGGAGGCTTGGAGACCGCTTTGTGGAACACCTAAGCTCGGTTCGCAACAAACGACTGCACCTCCCAGTTGCGAACCATTTCAACTCCCCCTCCCACTCCTTGGACAACATGCCCATCCTGGGCCTCCTCCAGTACCACAACGATGCCACCCGAAGGTTGCAGGAACAGCACCTCATATTCCGCTTGGGAACCCTGCAGCCCAATGGTATCAATGTGGACTTCACAAACTTCAAAATCTCCCCTCCCCCTACCGCATCCCAAAACCAGCCCAGCTCATCCCCGCCTCCCTAACCTGTCCGTCCACTCCTTCCACCTCAAGCCCCACCCCCACCCCCACCCCCACCTCCTACCTACCAGCCTCATCCTGCCCCCTTGACCTGTCCGTCCTCCCTGGACTGACCTATCCCCACCCTAACTCCCCACCTACACTCACCTTTACTGGCTCCATCCCCACCTCTTTGACCTGTCTGTCTCCTCTCCACCTATCTGCTCCCTTATCCATCTTCCATCCGCCTCACCCTCTCTCTCTATTTATTTCAGAATCCCCTTCCCCTCCCCCATTTCTGAAGAAGGATCCAGACCCGAAATGTCAGCTTTCCTGCTCCTCTGATGCTGCTTGGCCTGCTGTGTTCATTCAGCTCTATACCTTGTTATCTTAGAAAATACTAGGACTTGTCCAGTCAAGTCTATTACAGGTATGATACACGCTTGTAAGTATATGTGATATCTTATTTCTTTGAATGTTAATTACTGTAAAATATTTTAACTTCTGCTTTCTGTAACATTATCTCAACTCTTAAGACCACTTTTATTTCTCTTAGTTGTGCATTTTGCACTTGATTCAATAATAAATTAACTGCTACAACTTACATTCCTTGGTTCAGACTTTTTCTACCTCTAAGAATTCTTCAATCTAATTAGTTAAGGAGACATGTCACTATTTGGCCTGTTTACATAGCTACCAAGTGCCCTGTAGAAGAGAATGAAAAACGTTGGCTTTTGAATTCATTAGTTTCCAGATCAGTCCCAGATAAAGTATGTGGAAAGTACAAGAACAATGAATGACTGGTGCCTGCTTACTGCAAAATCCAAACCATTGTGTGTTTTCAAATATTTAGCTTTCTTGCATTTAACAGTACAAAAAGTTACACTTTTGATACTAATGTAGTGTAATCTGGTCTAGCTAGCTTAATAGAAACAATTATTGGAGTGATTCGAACATACATCACTGCTTTATTATGCAGTTAATTATTTTTAAGGTTAGCAAATACATCAATTTAAATAATTAACAAAACTGACTGCAACAAACTCAGCAGGAAACCCTTGTCAGAAACATGGGAGGTAAAAGAAAGAACGCACAGGATACATGAAATATGAGAAAACATGGCTACCATTTCTAGGCCATCAGGCTCCAAGAATCTTCTTGACCAGGTAACCAGGCATTGAATAAAGGAAGAGCCCGACCAGAAGGAGAAGGAGCACAACTGCGAGGATCTTCAAAATCAACCAACGATAGTTGTGCCAGATAAAATATCTGATGGACTTTAGAGGGTTCATAAACCAGATAAAGTTGGTGTCAGGTCGACTGCAGATTGGAGGAGAGCAAGGTATGAAGGAGCAAGAAAAAAAATAATGCAGAAGGGAAGGAAGAAATGGAAAAAAGCAAAAAGATTATAATTAAAAGGGTTACAGTTTAATACCAAATGGACATTAAAAATGTTCCACATTATGGATTTATAATATATGATTGATCCCAATAGTTCTGTTGGTCTTCTGAACTTAATTCCAGATTTTGAAAATTTGTATCAAAAGAAAAATGATTAAACATTATCTCTGATTTAAAGCAAAACAGAAGCTTAAAAGAAAATAGGCATTATTGGAAAATTCTCAAATTTATATCAAGAAATGACATTAATGTTTTTAGTTAGTGGTAGGAAATTAGTGATGCCTCGTGATTTGCAGCCTTGAAGTAACTTAATCCCTAAGCCCCACCTTCCTTTGGTAATTGTAGGAAGGAACTAAATTAAAACTATTGTGGTGAGAAAAAGATACTATTAATGCTATTTTTAAATGAGTTGTCTTATTGTTGTGCTTATTTGGGAAAGAACTGAATGGATCAAGGTAGAATCAAAATAATATAGCACCAAAGGAGATAAAAACAGAAATTGCTGGAAAAGCTCAGCAGGTCTGGCAGTATCTGTGGAGAGAAATCAGAGTTAACGTTTTGGGTCGAGTGACCCTTCCTCAGAACCGAACGAGATAATTCAGTTCATTGCACCGGTCTTATTGCTAGAGTTTTACAGGGACACTGTCTTACTATTATGGAATTATTGGCTCTAAGACTGTACAAGCTCCATTAAAACTTATTTCAGAATGGATACACTAACTTGTTTCTTTTTAGATATCACATTATGATCTTTCAGTAGTAAGAAATTCTTGGTTCTTTATATTCCACCGTGTGTGGGAATCAGGTTTTTATGGAGCAGGCAGAAGTACTTGTGAAGTGTGGATATAAGGTCTATTGGAGCATATTGACCTGAAATGATTTAAATACTCATCCTGTCAAAATTGAAAACAAACTTTGGAGCTTTCACTTGAGTAAAAAAATCAGAAGAGTAAAAAAAAATCAGAAACACACTTGTGAATTGTATTAAGAGGTCTTCTTGTGTAGATTAGAAAATGAAACATTGCCTTCAGTTTTTCAATTTCAATGGACACCATTGTTTTGGTTTCCCCATGTTTGTTATTGTAGCAGAGTCCTTAATGAAGGCTTGGCTCAGTTTGAAAAGGTCAAGGACCATTTATTTCAGCAAGGGATTGTATACATGCTTTAATTTATGGTTTGAAGAATTTTTAAAGAGTCTTTGATGCGGGTCATGAAATAAATCTTAAATTTAAGTCATTCTTGGTCTTGAGGGACTGCCATAGAGCTATAGAGTCATACAGCATGGAAACAGGCCCTTCGGCCCAACTCATCCATGCTGACCAGGTTTCCTAAACTGAAATATTCCCATTTGCTTGTGTTTGGCCTATATCCCTGTAAATCTTTTCTATGTTATCTGTCCAAATGTCTTTTAATTGTTGTAATTATACCTGCCTCTACCGCCTCCTCTAGCAGCTCGTTCCAATATCCACCACCCTGTGTGTGAAAACGTTGCTCCCTTTTAAATCTTTCCCCTCTCACCTTAGCCCTATGCCCTCTAGTTTTGGACTCCCCTACTCTGGGGAAAAGACCTTGGCTATTCATCTTATCTATGCCCCTTGAGATTTTATAAACCTCTATAAAGTCACCCCTCAGCCTCCAATGGTCCAGGGAAAAAAATTCCCAGCCTCGGTAACATTCTTGTAAATGTTTTTGCGCCCTTTCTGTTTAATAACATCCTACCTATCATTGGATGACCAGAATTGTACGCAGTACTCCAATGTTGCCTTACCAATGTCTTGTAAGCTGTGATATGACGTCCCAACTTCTGTACTCAATGCTCTGACAAATGAAGGCGAGAGTGCCAAACACTTTCTTCACCACCCTATCCACCTGTGATGCCACTTTCAAGGAACTATGAACCTGCACCCCTAGGTCTCTCTGTTTGACAACACTTCCTCTGTCTGAACCCGGTGACAATGATGTGAGGTGAGAATTGGCAACTGTGACAGGAGGTCCTGGCCTGGTATTTGCAGGAGCTACCACAGAGAGTTAGACAGGCGGTGCTGGAACATAGCTGATCACAGTCAGTGAAAGGCGCCGATGATCCAGGGAGTAATCTGGAGCCTAGAAGGACCCTCCTGCTCTTTCTAGACCAGAAGGAAATCTCTTCTAAAACCTCGACAACAAGGTGCAGGGCTGGATGAACACAGCAGGCCAAACAGCATCATAGGAGCAGAAAGGCTGACGTTTTGGGCCTAGACCCTTCATCAGAAATGGGGGAGGGGAAGGGGATTCTGAAATAAATAGGGAGAGAGTGGGAGGCGGATAGAAGATGGATAGAGGAGGGGATAGGTGGAGAGGAAACAAACAGGTCGAAGAGGCGGGGATGGAGC